ACACTTAAATACACATAACAAAAAGTATATCGAATACTTATGAATTATTGAAATTTTGGATGCATATCTGGTTCATACTTTTCTAGATTTTGTCATTTGACCGTATTAAGTGATGATTGTCGGTCGATAAAATGATCGAATTTATGATATAAAAAAATAATAATAAATTACCATATTGTATTCTCGATTGTTATCAGTATAAAAACCATTTGTTATCAAACATCTTATAAAAGTCGAATAGTTTGCTACTAATCACCTTTAGAAGCGTTAATTGGACACTATACATTGTGAAATATAAAGGTTTCAGCTTGATCGACTTGAACGTCGTTGTAATTTCAAAGTTGATTTGACCAAGTTAAAGACTGCTCAGCCAAGGGAAAGAACAACCACCAATGAAACGTGTAAGTAAGATAAATGAGTGAAACACTATATTTATGAGAAAAAATCGCTGAATCAAGTGTAAGGATATTAAACCGGTTATATGGTTAGTTGTAGATTACTTTAGGGGAAGGTTAGGGTTAAGTTAATCTAATTAGGGAGATATTAGGGTTGATTAGGAATGGATTTAGATCGCAGTTGAGTTAGGCACCCAAATTCGCTTTTGAGCGCAAATGTTTGTTTCCAGCCCATGGTTGCGTCCATTTCCCTTGGGTAGCTATTCTTTAACTCTCCGACTCGTTGGAGGGATTACGGAATGTCGATCACTAGAGCCCCTTACTGTAAGTACTTTGAAGGTCAGATAGTTATTGGGCTTACTAGAAACTAATGACTGAAATACTATTTTCATCCGTTAGTCGTCAGTCGTCAAAGGTTAGTTAACTGAGGATTCATGGCGATGCATATATATATATAAGCATTCAGACAGCGCTTTTTGTGCATAGTCACATCACAATAATTTCACACCTTTCCACCAGGACAAAAATTTGGTATTACGCAAGATTGCTGTTGCTTTGCACCTCGATATAGTGTTGCTGGTTGAACAACCTTCTGGGAGGCATTATCTGAAAACAGTTCTCAGTTGCAGGAGTTTGACTGATTTTAACGCCGCAAAGTTGAGCTTGATAACAGTAGTGGATGGTGGTCTTGCTAAGTTGAGAAATGACATAGGTCAGGATCTACGGACCTTTGGATTCTAATCCCTTGTCGTCTGATAACTTTAATATCCTAAGTTTTATCCTTGGTATGATCGTGACTGTGAGCCGCTGTCCAGTGACTTCTCACTAAAATTATTATTGTTTTCTTGGGCTCCGGGTTGTACATAGGCCTTCAGCAGAACGTTATCTTGATATCTGCTTCCCCCATTAGCTGGCCCCATGACTGCCTATAGACTGTCATCTCCTCCTCACACGACCTTCTCGATGTCACCCTCGGACGCTGAACTCATCATTTTCGGTTTGGGTTCTACTAGAGTGATGGTCTGGCGCACGATGTCATTCGACGGTCATCTCAGAGTGTGCTCAATCAATCTCCATCTTCTCCTACATATCTGATGAACCATAAGTTCTTGGTTGGTTTGTTTCTGCAGTTTCTAGTTATTTATTCTTTCTGGCCAGCTATTTGATCTTCAATATGGAACGAAGGCAGCTGTTGGTCAGAGTCTGCAGTAACCTGTTGGAAATGTTTTTCATGACACGCAGTGCAAGTTTCCAACCCATTTAGAACAAATGACTGACATGAAATAACAAGGTTTTATTGTCTTTCTGGACCGCACCTTCAGTATTTACTTCATTTTTTCTACGAAGACTAGGAAAGCTTCTCAAGTGAACCGTCCAGCTCAGAGGATGCAACAGCACCGAAAATATCTGCCTGACCTACAAGTCTTCTCCATTATTTTAATACTATATGTCATTTTGATATATTGAATAAATAGGCATACTACAGGGAAGACATTTACATTTTAGGGACACATTCCTATGTGAGACTCATACACAGCTACCATTCATTTCGGCTGATGAATCCTAAATAAAAGTGGATAGGTATCATAGATGCTACGGATAGACACTACTGGACAAATAACATTATCACTCTGACACAAACACGAGGTTTATTAAACACAAATTGAACCAACTGAGAAAATAATTCTTTGTATGAAGACCGCTGAACGCAGATTACTCTTGATTTGTATACTCCACATCTTAAATGAGGATTTAAATGTGTGGAGATAAACTACGACTCACACTTGTTAGTATTCTGATTCAGACTAGTCATTAGAATACTGTAACGGTAAAATGATGTACATTGATGGCAAAATATAAGAGTCTTATATTGAAACTTCAGTCTGCGAAGGTTATGAGTTTCCCACTTCTTTTGTCTTCATTTCATGGTCTCCAAATTGTTTTACAATTAAATTTATTTTTTCTATTTGTAATTTTATCCATCACTCGGCTATTCAACATTCTTGCAGAAGACACCACCGATATATAGTAACTGGAAATTCCTGTCAGTAATATATGCCACAAAACCATTAACCTGATAATTTTACTACGCAACTATTGCACAAATAAAACCTTTTTTTCTTTATAACTATCTACGATACCTCTTGTGATAAGTTGTTGTCCTGACAAGACTATACTATCGCAGTTTTACTGAAATTTTACCGAAATACTGTTTGGTAGATAACTCCATATTAATTTGTTTGTTGAATATATCACACAGTGAGTCAGTGCTACTATTTACTGGACTACATCTCGAATAGAACTGATTATTCATTATTATTATCAATTATAACTACACAACTTCGAGATTTGTGTTTTATGCTTGTCTTTATTCCCTGCCATTCGTCCTCAGGATGAGAACCAAAGTGCTACTGGTAGGTAACAGGCTATGCCTGACTTTTACAGAGAGTTCCTATAGGAATATTAATATCTCTGTTATTACTAGATATATTTATTGGATAGTTAGGAAAACTCAGCTAGTGAAACGTTAGACCTCACTCACAAACCATGTTGGAGGTGTGTAGACGGCACATTCAAAGTACTAAAAACACCAAATATAAGTAGATTTTTCGAACAAAACAACTCAAAGGTAGAAGCAGTTCTACTCACCTATAAACTGGAAAGTCATGAAGGAGAGCTTCCAATATTAAATAGGAAGTTACAGAATACCCAAACATTTGAATCAATATTTGGATTTCGGTTGATCTCACCCTTTGTCATTAAAAATAGGATTGGTGAAATGCTGAAGTAATGGGGCAAAGAATTAAGACATATAAGAGAATCTTTGACACTTAGTAATTACCCGATAAATTAATGAGGATGTAGGGAATTGTAAAAATAAAATTGGTAATAATTATAATAGTGATTACATTAACAATAAGGAGGAATTACATAAAAAAGATACACAGAAAGATGACAACGCCAACAATAGAGAACTTCAGTAATAGTTCCATACAAAGAAGAAATTTCTGAAAATTTACCTAGAATTCTTAACAAAGAGAGAACAATTGGCATTCAAATCCACAAACTCATTTAGAAACATGCATTGTCGGTTAAAGGATCCTGTGGAGCTCATTAAACAAAATGATTTCGTTTATCTAATACCCTGCAATGATTTTCAGGCCCTATACGTATTTCAAAGTAGTAGGGCGAAGTCAATCAGATTAGCGGAGCACAAGAACCTGGAGAAATCTGGATTAGTTGACCCAAATAAAACAAGAAATCCGGAGAATAGTTCAGCTATAGAACTCACCACATGCAGTTACACACAACCACACAATAGGATGGATGGGATAGGATGACAGTTTTAAAATCTAATTTCACAGCTGGGTGGAGGGAGAGATTGATAACAGAAGCTTTGTTTATCAAATTAACTGAAAACACGTGTAATAGGAATGATTGAACACCTGTCCCAGATATCTAGAAAATTCTATTACCCCTACGACGAATAGGAGAGAATAAGGAAAACTATAAAACCAAAGTTTCGAAGTTGTGTGATTACTTTTTTTATTCATCTACCTTCCAAGTGGAACATAGGGCTTTAAGCTAGAGGCTTAAGTCTCGGTGGCAGGGGTGTTTATTTTTAAGGAATCGGGTTGCTAGACACATACACAACCTTCCTTCTTTACCAGTCTTATTACTGCCTTAGCCAGGTAAAGGAGTGTGCTGGCCGGCGATCGAACTCCGAACTACATGCGTGATTAGCCAGCATTCTACCGCTGTGCCACCAACGCACAGTGTGTTTATAACTGATATTGATCATGAACAATAAATTGTGTTCGAAACGTGATCCAGTAAATAATACTGTTTCACTGTGTGATATATTCAACAGACAAATAATTACGGAATTAGCTACTACTGTAACAACAGAAGACAAGGGCCAGGAAACAGAACGTTTATTTAAGAAATCAACACATATTTATAGATTTTTATGTACATTATTATAGATTATTGTAATCAAACAAACACAGTCTTCTGATTGGCAGTTTCTCGCTGAACGTTAATCTTCCATCTCTTTGTCGCTGTTTCTTGAAGTTCAGATTATCTCTCTGCAAATTGTATCCGCCTAAGCAAAGTCTGCTGTGATCGGTTGTTGAGTCAGTCTTTGTTCTTATTTTTCTCATAACCAATATTAGTGACGTAAACACTGACGTAAATTACTGTCTACCAATTTGGCTAGCAGCCAGCTCTCACCACACTACTTCAGTGTCCAAGTTTCACACATTTACTAATAGTTTGTTGTGATAATGAGAAGTGAAGGAAATAAATATATTTGCACGCAATGATACACCAATTGACTGGAAAATTATACATTGATTCGCAGAAGAACAGGACACACTCGTCCCAACCTCTTGCCAGACTAGAATAGAATGCAATATCATCTTGTTGTGCAACCACTTCAGGGTCCTCCCCCACCCCCTAGTGGACCAATTCTGTTTTCTTCAAAGAGTCACATCATCATGTCTACATACAAATCACTTTTACTCAAAAATGATACTTAAAAGTCATAAAGATCATATTTTCACAAAGAAACCAATTCATCTTATACACTAGTGTGTGTGTATGTGTATGTAATACAGTCTCGTGTACCACTTATACACCTACTCATGTATTGAATGTGTCTAGTGTTAGTATAAGACATGTAAACACGTACACCTAAAATGACTGTTAATAGTACTAATGATGGTATTATAATTATTATAATTATTATTATTATAATACTGTTGATCATAGATAGATGAACAACTCAAAAAATTTAAACTAAAGCATAAACATGCATGTTACGCACACATGCATGCATGTATACATATACATATCGATGTGCAGACCACTTTGTTTGCCGTGCAAAAGCTATTTCTGAATTGATTATTAACTGTGAAAATATTATTGTGTACCACCTATTCAGCATAAAGCTTTGTGGACTTTAAGTAGTATGCTAAAGTTCTGAGGATTAAACACGCATAAAATTTGCTATTGTCTTGCCTCAGTTATTCTGAAAAGCCTCTGCTCTTCATCACTGTTCTTCACACTTTGTCTACGACAACATCATACCTATTCTCAAAGTAAATTGAACTAAAAAACCGAATATCACTTGTGACAATAATGGTTGCTCAAGAATTTCTGAATTTCTTCTCAAGTCTACAACTTCCTGCAGCTATTGGCATAGAAGACTTCGCTGATCGTTTGAATCTATTCACTACTGTATTATTGCTGTTGGCCACTTTAATTGTCACTGCTAAACAATACGTTCTAGGCTCAATATCGTGTTATGTGTCTGTTTCACCATCAGGCAGTGGATTTGAATCTTTTTTAGTCAATTATTGTTGGGTACATGGTACAATACCGTTGAGAAGTAATGAACCTATTCCAGAAACTGATGAACAATGGAAAGAATATGATACGCATAGAAGGATAAGTGAGTTTTGATTGTCTGTATACTTGATAGTATTCTCCCGTTGACATTTTCATATTATGAACAAATGTTAGTGACTCGTATGAGTGAGACTCAGAACAAGTCTCTTGACAGACTATTTATATTTGTGTATTTAGTTTATTTACTAATCTACTTGAACAGCAGCTTGTCTTTCTAGAAAAATCCATAATCCTTATTATTATCATTATTATTCCCTTAGATTCCAGTTCTCTGTAGTTGTCTTTATCTGGTTCCATGATTATCCATTGGCTTTTATCTCTTTCTCACACGATCTTCTGCATATTAACCTTGAACCAACGTCCAAGTTATCGTTTCCCCTTTAGGTTCCATTTAAGATTCTGTTTCTGTATGGTGCACAATGTCACTCAACGGTCTTCTTCATAAAGCTTTAGAAAAACTTAATTCGCAGTAAAAAGTCCCCATCATTTTATACCACAGGTTCTTATAATCTGTAGACTACCTGAAATTAAAACCCTGATGAAAATAGCCCACTACATTGGTGGAATGATAGAAAATAAAGTGTTATAAAATTAAATCATTCAGAATGTAAGCACTAGATTTTTTTAGTTCAAATCATCATCAATTTACCTGCATTTTAAAGCAGAAAATGACGGGTGGAGAGAAGACAAAAACAGACGTGTAAATTCGTTTTTTTTTCCATATTGAAATTCGTTTTTTGAGTTTGACCAAAGACTGATATCAGTTAGAGAACAGTTGAAAGCCAGGGAGTACTGGACAGATGTTTCTGTGGTCCCAATTCGGGAATCATCAGTTGTACGCACCCACCAACGGGGTTCGAACCCAGGACCTTCCAGTTACAAGGCAAGCTGACTCGTATAACATTCAGCCACTGGGACCCCACCTGATTCAATGTCCAGTCCATGAATTCTAGCTTCTATCAATTCGTGATTTAGCGCGACCACCTACCAATGTCATCATTGGGAAATCCATCCTCGCACTTGACCGGTTAAACATCACTGGTCACGACTTCTCACTAGAACCCCAGGAAACTCCGTTGTGTAGCCAGTCGCTGGCGAGCATCAGATTAATTTTCAAGAGTTGTTTCGTAAGGATTCAATTTGTTTTTCGAGTATGACCACTGATTGATGTCAGTTAGGGAATCCATTGAAAGCCAGGGGGATACTGAACAGCTGTTTCATTGAAATTCATCAAATGAAGTGTCTAAAGTTTCATAAATATAACTAACCTTGTCAATAAGTTGAGAAAAGTGTGTCAACTAAATCATTAATATTTACGATTACATGTTAGAAATGGCTGTTTATTAACAACAAAATTCTTTTTCTAACACACTGGTTACTAAATAATTCCCATACAATTTTTCGAGCATTTTACCAGCAGTATTTTACTGAAGAACATTAGCCATGGCAGTAAACTCAGTTATAGTGATGCTGTCAGTTTAAGATATCTCTCAAATCGCATGAAATTTCCAAATAGTGTCAGGCATACATTCCTTGGTAATATCGAAGGCCTTAACTGCAAATCCATTTTAAAGGAATAGCGGTTACCCAGGTTATCCAAGCCGGATTTTTCAGTGACCAGATCCAAGATATTTGTAGTCCTGCGCTGCTCCATGATCTCAACTGATACAAAATGCATGAATAACGCTTGTCGATACAACACTTAGTGCTGCTGACTTTTCTGCACTCCTGCAAATATAATGATAAGTGGTAACCAGCAAGGAGTACTGGACAGCTGTTGCATCTTAATTTGGGAATCGTCAGAAGTACCAGAAGGTCCTAGGTTCGAACCCCGTTGGTGGGTGCGCATAACTGATGATTCCCAAACTAGGACCACAGAAACAGCTGTCCAGTACTCCAGCACTGATTTTCAATGGTTCTCTAACTGATATCAATCTGTGATCAACTCCTCATAATAATATTTGCCCTTTGAAGTTCACTTTCGTAAGGATACAATGGAAATTTCCCTGAAGAAGTTCGGACCAGATTGCCGAACGAAACGTTGGAATTACTCATTTCAATATCGCTGAGATTATACAAATATAATTTTTTACAAATGTCTACTTCTCACTCGGCGCCCAAATCTTTTAGAACTATTCTGTCAAATCTTGACTACAGTTCATTTGATTTACAATGGTGTATTGATTAAACTTTTTTTCGATATCCACTCACAATCAAACTCAACAACACAATTCAATCATATACGCCTATTTAATGCACACAACACCATGTGATTGTCCTTAGATTTAACTAGTGTCAATGCACAAATTTTTATCTCTAGTAATATAGTACAACTAGACTAGATTTGGTTTGGTTGACATAAAACTGACAATCACGTAACCTTGATCCACTCACTAATAATTGTATAATTTATCCGTCTAAGGACATTAATACCCACATCGTGTTAATATACACATACGAGAGATTTTACTTCGAATGCAACGAATAAGCTCATTGATCACGCCATTCAAACAGTTCTACGCAGTATATCTTAATGTCATATGATTAAAGACAATCAACAGAGGTATATACAACTTTGAGTCTGTGTTAACTTAGTGGTAATACTCTCAAAATAACTTATCAAAATCAGACGGTATCAAAGCCTAGACATCACGAAACTGCATATATATATATATATATATATATATATATATATATTATAGTAATAAAACAATTTAAACTCTACCCTTCGTGCACTTTAAGACAAAATATTGATTTATTGAACTTTGAAAAAAAGAAAGAATAGAAAGATGTTTTTACCACGTTCTGTCATTCGTATGACATGAAAAGATGGTTTTAATTCTTAAACGTGTGATAGAATACAATATGATCTTTTTTGGTTGGACACTAGCCAGTAATTGGTATAATGCGTCTAGTCCTATCTTCGGTGCAGACTGAATTCTATTAGTCAGACTTGCAATGTGGCCACCATGCCACCACGTGGCTCGCCATCACGGTGCACTGTGAATTGTTGGTATTAGATGGTTGGAGGCAGTCGGCAGAAAGCCTTCGACCTAGGTTTCATGCTAGTTAGCACTCATCAACACGGCTTATCTGCAACCTCGAAGGAACTCATGAGGTAAATTGCGAGTCTGAATAGCTCAGTGGTAACGTCTCTGACTGACTGAAGGTGGCACTGGGTGACGTGGGTTCGAATCTCAGACGGGTGGGACATGAGTTCCTTCAAGGCTGCAGATACGCCTTGCTGACACTGGTGAGTGCCAACTAGCATGAAAACTAGGTCCAGCCAATGCTTCCTGCTGATTGCCTCTAGCCATCTAATAATACAACATGATCTGCTATAGAAATGAAGACACTCAAGTGAGATTGACTCAAAGAAAATCACACAATATATCAATATGTGTGAATAACACTTCAGTTCCTGCCTTTATTACTATTAAGACTTCAATAAACAGTTAGCTTACTTATCACAGTTACAAACCTATTTGTACAGTAGGTTGAAAAATACAACAGAAGTTTCCGTGTTAAAAAAAGTATAAGTCAACATTGTATGAGTACACTTCATTCTATCTGAGGGTTCCTTTTTAACTGTGACCTACTTACTGGTTGAAATATGCATATTTTTGATGTGGTTGTGTTTTCTGAGCTGGTTGGTTTAACTACAAGGCTTCCATCGTCTTTCGAGACAACATCTCAAGTACAAACTTCAGTATAAAGTGAATTTATCTGAATTCTCCGGGAATGATATAAGTGGTCCTCCTAAAAAACCTTGTCTTGATTGCCTATCAGTTTGCATCAATACTGATCGTCTTTATTGAGTTGGAATTTGACTTTTTTCGTCATGTGATTTATTCTTTATTAGTTGGTTAATATGATCAATAATAATGCGTCTGTTGATCGGTGATTCATTTGACTAGTAGGCATTTAGGGATTCTCTGGCATTATTGGTGTTTCCGCTGCTTACAATTTCTAAATTTTCCCAGTCAAACTGGCCTCCATAATTTTCTGCATGCATCTATATGAAAGGATACATCTTGTGGCATTTCACAATTGATTTATATTCTTGGATTCGCTAGTTGGAGGGGATGCTCACTTTGATTTAACAACAGAGCTTATCATAAATCAAATGAACTGTAGTCAAGATTTGACAGAATAGTTCTATAATATTTGGGCGCCGAGTGAGAAGTAGACATTTGTAAAAAATTATATTTGTAAAATCTCAGCGATATTGAAATGAGTAATTCCAACGTTTCGTTCGGCAATCTGGTCCGAACTTCTTCAGGGAAATTAATCGAAATTAATTATCATAATTCATGAAATTTATTTTGTAGAAGGTTTTGATCTTGTCTTCTTTTGGTGTTGAGTCTTTTGATCTGTATCAAAAACTGAAGTTGTATCAGTTCCACTGACAGCTACGCTAGTATGGCCATTCTTATCGTTCTGAGCGTCAATCTTGGCTTCATCGACAGAGCTACTTCATTCTGAACTGAAAGTCACTGATGTACTCAGGCTCAAAAACTAACGGACTTTCTGTCTCGATATGTGATTTATGAACTTCGCCACTGTTTCATCAAATTTCTCATTTAATTCTAATGAGTAACTTGACTGGATTAAACCGTGAACAAATATTACACATACAGATTAGGTACACAGGTTACATATTATGAGTTAAGAGATTCAATATCCACAGCATTACTTCGATCTATGTGAATATCATTAATCTAAACGACCACTGACTTTATTTAAACTACACATAAATCTTTATCGCCTTCCATTGGAGGATAACCAGAAAGATAAGACAGATGTAATTGAAATTTGTGATGAGAGGTCTCCTAAAGAAGAAACTGGTTGATAATACACAGAGTAAATGTCCACCTGAGACCCATACTTTCTATGACCAAATCACTTCAAAACACAGTTGCTCATTGGCTTGCAGAGAAGCTGAAACCCATTTGTCAACGTCTAGCTGTATGATACATGTCATGACTCATATACCAAACAAATCACAGTGGAAAAGCAGCCTATATTCATTTACCCTGACTT